GGTATGTCAAATGACAATTAAAGAAGCTAAGGGTGATGTTTATCCTCTCGGGTGAACAAAATAGGACCCCCCCACAAGACCGTAAATTACATGGTACAACGGGTGTACCGTGCGCAAGGTACAACCGGCCTTTTATTTCGTAAATCGCAGGGCTTCATCGCAAATCGCAGGCTTCCATCGCAGTTCGCAGAGCTTCCATCGCAGTTCGCAGAGCTTCCATCGCAAATCGCAGGCTTCCATCGCGGTTCGCAGACTTCCATCCCAGTTCGCAGGACTTCCATCGCAGCTCGCAGATCGTTACTCGTCCTTCACTCGCTGCCACCTCCCTCCAGCACAACCCTTTAGCACGAGCGCAGCACAACCCTAGTTGCTTCTTCTCCCTCTTTCTTGCTTTGGACTCTTCCTTTTTCTCTTTTTCTTACCCAAGTTTCTGAAGGGAGTTCGTCACTTATGATATGGGCATAACAAATGAAATTATGAGTATAGTACACATTTCAAATGAGTTTTTTGAATGCTCATTTCGTAATTAATGTATACTCATTTGATATAAGTGCAATACTCATTTTAAAATGTTTACATTCATGCATATTTCAAAATGAGTTTTATGTTAAACTCAAATGTTTACAACGCCCAAAATGAATGAGCACACACAAATGAGTTTTTAATATTTTAATACTCATTTTGTAAGTTATGGATACTCATTTTGTATTTTTTTTATGCTCATTTCAAAAGGTTGCAAATGTCAAACATATCATAATCCATTTGATTCACACATTGAAATTAAATGAAATTGATTATAGACATAATTTAAGACTTTAATAAACGAAAAAATAATAAACGGGAATGTGATATATGAGGAATGAAGTAGATATCACTAATGCTCATCGTTTAGACTACTAATACTCAAAAGAACAGGCTCTATGCTCATTTTAAAATGATGCACATATCAAACATATAATACTACATTAGATTCACATATTGAAATTAATTATAAACATAATTTAAGTTTTTTTTATAAACGAAAAAATAATAAAAAGAAACCGAATTAGAAGATATGAAGTAGAGAGCACTGGTGCTCACTGTTAGGCTCCTAATACTCAGAAGAACAGACTCCATGTTCATCAAAATTACATCAATGCTCATTTATGAGAAATCACGAACTTCATCAAAATTACAAAACTGCCACCGGATGTACGGTGCGTATACGCTTCCCCCACAAGACTAGGTTTGCCGTATGGTTAGAGATTTGAAGCAATGAAATGGCAAAATGTCTTGTTTTAATCTATGTAGCACCGATACCGGTACGCGGAAACGCGGAAACGCGTACGGGGATACGTCAAAACAAAGAAAAGTAGGATACGGATACGGGGCCATATTTATAAATATTAAAAGTTATGGGGGTGTATTTACAAATATTAAAAGTTATAGGGGTCTATTTATAAATATTAAAAATAGATTTTTTTCCTTTTTCAAGATACTTAGTAATAAATTCATAATATTTCTCATATACACTAGTGTATCTCGAAATATAAATGTAGTCAATAAGTCATTAATTTAAAATGAGAAATAAGTCAAACAACTACAATCTTGAAATTAAAAGTGCAAGTACCCAATTCGGAGTATGAGTTAATGACTTAATTCGGATATAGCCATATAGGCCCATTATTTGATTACCAAGTAAAATGTAGTTTTAGATTTTCATTTTTTTTTAGAATTTTATTAAGTAAATTTTGGATTTTTTTTTTAAAAAAAGTTGATACGGGTATCGGTCAGGATACGAGTATGAGAAACTTTCAAAAAATTACAAAAAAAAAAGTGGAAACTTTTAAAAATTGCAGATACGGCCCGAGAACGTACGGTACGGGTATCCTAGAGTATCGGATACAAGAACGTATCGGATATGCCGATACGCTACCCTAGGGAAGTATCCGTGCTTCATAGGTTTTAATCTAGAATAAAAAGAAGCGAGAAAAAGTAAAGAAGATGCCTCTCCAAGAAATCGAACCCAGCACCATCTAAAGTCTTAAGATGGATAGTACTACGTAACATTACCGCGAGTGCTACCATTCAATTGTTCTATCTATTTAATCATTTTGTGGTTTTATTTGTATATATAAATATATTATTTAAGTTTTTTTTATATATAAAATATAGGATGTAAATAATATATCCCATGTATTATTTTTGAAGTTCATGGGACCCTAGCTGGGACCCTTAGCGGATCCGCCAACAGCCGCCAGGGGCGGAGCCAGGACTTGATGATAAGGGGGGCGAGATTGAGCGCAAAAAATGTGCTCCGAAAATTTCTGGCTATGACGATATCAAATAATTGACTTATTTGAATATACTTCGAGAATTTGTAGAACGGTGTCGAAAAAACTCTGTATATCAATATTTAAGATTAATTATAGTGAGATGCTCATTTAATTTTTCAGAAATTATTCTATTGTAATATGTTGGATAATGAATATGAAAGGAAAATAAATGACAGAAAATGATAATTGTGTGTTTCATTTCATATCACACAATTAAAAGCAAATTAATTATATATGATATGTATTTTTAGTATTGTTTGCATATATTAAATATATTACTCCCAAATACAATTATCTAAATAGTCATTGAAGATAAATTTTATTCTATCTCAAAGTCGATCAATTTATTAGATTCAGTCCAAAAAAATATGTAGTATCTCACAAATTTATAGAACCAAATTAATTTTTCCCTATTATAAATGACTTTTAGATGCATGATTTTTTAAATCTATTTAAAAATGACTAAAGTAATACACCTACTAAAATCATATAATAATACTATATGTCACTTTTATTTAATATAATATTATAGTAAAGTCTATATTGCTTGTATAGCACTACGTAACATATATACTCCGTAACTAACTACCCATATATAGTTCAATCAGTAAGTACTAAAAAATTGAAAATCAAAAAAAATCTTGAAGACCTTTCACAATTTTAGAAACGAAGTACTACGTACTAATTAAAAAACTAACGTATAGGCAGTTTATGAACTATTGATCTAATAGACTAATAGTATTAAAAAATAAAAAGTTGGGAGGGGCAATGGCCACCCTAACCCTATTGCTACCTCCGTCCCTGACGGCCGCCATGTCAGCACATCACCTCCTGACGTGGCACACAAGTGGTAGTCAATCAACACTGAATTTGCTGACGTAGCCCACTCGTGAAAGTCTAGCTAGCCATTTCTTGATGATATGGCGCACACGTGAACCGTCACTTGTACGCCACGTCAGTGCGTAACCCGTTAATTGATTCAATTGAACGTTTTTTCAAAGTTTACTTATTGAAAACTCCAAGTTGTACGTATTAACAAATGAGGGTCTCCTTGGCACCAAAAGAAAATAGATAAATTTGTATTTGAGGCAATGTGTTGTGGATCATTTTTATAGATAAGTTTTGTTTCGCTTTTCTTCAATGGAGAACACTAATCCATTATCAATGATCAGTTACTTGAATATTCTACGGGACAAGGTGAAGGTGGTAGAGTGGTCCATTGAGGCGGAATACAAATTAAATATGCCATCTATGTATCGGTCCTATATATCAAGGTAGTGTCAACTGTCAAGTATGGTCCATTGAGGCTATTTACTTTTGTATGCAGCAAAGGGTCAGTTTACAATTTTATGATGTACTCCCTAGCTAGCTATTATGATCATGTCTCATCTGATTTGGTAATATTATGTTCCATATAATCTGTTTTAATGAGTATAGTCTTAAAATATAGAAATATATCAATTTTAGGCGTCTATCTAAGTCGACCTAGTGTTTTAAAGATTGTACTGAACCATGAAGTATAATTTGATCATAATTCCAATCAAATTGGAGGCCATTTCGTAAGTGGCATTTAGCTTCCTTTAACTATCGTTGAATTAGTCGGCTAAAGAGACTTGTATTTGACCAGAATACGAATTGAATTAGAATCTTAATTAATACGAAGTAATAATTCTATCGAAATTTGAAATTTGATGGGCTAGCTGTATAGAGATATTCCGTATTACGTTACGATCAAATGATTAATTAATGATTATATGTTTTTCAAAATTCAAATGAATACTTTTGACACGTGAATTGAATGTCATGTACAATATATTGTTATATTCTAAATTTCTAATCTCCTTTTCGTATTTGAATTAAACTTGCTCAAAGTTAAATCCACGGTCAAATATGTATATACCGAGTGTCTTTTCGTCACTTGTGCTTCATTTACGATTTTACTGAATCAATTTGTTATCTAACCATCGTTTAAGAGGTGTAAAAAACTACCCTTCAAGTTTTTTGTGTGTGTGGAAGAAACCACCCTTCAAGAATTGAATTATATTAATAACATCATAAGAATCATATCATCTTCCTCACGATATAATAATACAGTATTTTCATTATCATTTCTCTTTCTTTCATTTTCCTCTATCTCTCTCGGTTTATACTGTTTATTACGCTCCGTATTCCAGAAAAAGGAACTTTTTGAGTATTGTTTAATGAGTAATTCTTGGTTTAAACGAAAAATTGGGATAGGATTTGATAAGATTTCTGGCGTTTGTTTTGGGTACAAAATGTCACGGGTTCAAATTCTGTCACCCCTACTTAATTAACGCTCTCCTTTGAGGAGTAAGAGATGATCTAGATCATCTAGTGAAATCCCGTTTGATACCGGATAAAGCAAATCTTAGTTTTCGTTTTCCTTGTGATGGACCTGGAAGAGGGGTACATGTCAAGTATCGACTTCTTTTTCAAATGAATTGTCTTTATACACAGACAATTAGTGTACACAGCCAATTAGAGGATTTGTGTACATATTGTCACCTAATTATGTATACATCTAGCATTTTTGTTGTTTAATAAGGAAACCATTCTCGTAGAAATGTTACACTGGACCGGATAGTTATTTTCTTGAAAGAAAACGCTATTCTATGCTTGATCCACAACGGACAAAAATGGAAGAAATGCAACATTATTGTGAGGAAAATGTTTCCTTGTTTTCAAAATGAGGGTAACAATTTCTCACAAAAGATTAAAGAAGGGCATAAATAACTTAGTTGCAATATTTAAGCATATACGAGTAGAAGCTAATGAGTACATATCAAATAAATTGCAGACCTAAAAATCTCACTGATCAATCGGAGTCAAAGAAAATGATTGACCACCGACTGATGATTGAGTCTCTTGGCTACTTAAATTTTGCGTGTGACTTGAAACTCGACCCGAATTTAACCGGCAAAACCCTTGGCCGGGTTGCGCCTGCTGGTCAAAAGCTGCCGCCGTCGCCAATTTCATGTCCTGGTATCTGGACCGATAAAACGCGAGTTCCTGATTCACAGCTTCCAATTCCGCAATGCTACATTGCAACTGGCTATACAGAGTCCTGATCGTATTGCGGCAGCCACCAACGGGATCGGCAGCGCGGGCATTGGCTTCATAGATTACGGACACCATGAAATCGTCCCTGTATTCTTCATCGATGCTGGCCAGAGCTTTGGTGAGGTTCTTTATGCCGAACAGTTTGTGGGCATTGATGAAATCTCGCCGTTTGCACGCCGGAAAGTAAGGAGCTAAGGGGCAGTTTGGGCCGCATTTTCTCCGCTGGTGGCTACAGGCGGCGCAGACTTTTGATCCTTTGGATCTGGGTCCGGAAGAACTGGGTTTTAGGTCCCGGGTTGAGGGGCGATGGTTTTGATCCGTTGATTCACTTCCCATTTTTTCCGAGACAGCAGTAAAATGTCGGCTTGATTTTCTGCGAGGCTTGTGGAATTTTCGGTAGTTTCTCGGCGTTTCTTGGAAGATGACGACTTGGGAAGAAACCAGAAACTGAACGGAAAATGAGGAACGTGTGGGGGCGAATCTCCGTACAGGAGAGAATGTGCAGTACTTATCCAAACTAAGAGTGGGGGTGGTTTTTTATTTGAAAAAAAATGATCAAATAAGTCCTTATATAGGAGACTATGTTCGGCCGTCGTGATTTGGGGTGATTCTCGGTGGAATATTTTGATGAATTTTTTTGAATATCTTATTCATCAAGTCTAGTTACTCATACCAATAAATGCGCAGTTATCTTCAAGAATTACTTTGAATGCGTTTCCGATTGAAGTTTTAGCTGAAATTTGGTATGAGTAAACTAGACTTGATGAATCAAAAAATTTCATCAAAAAATTCCACCGGTAACTGCCTCAAATCGCGACGGCCGGACAGAGCCTCCTATATAAGGACTTATTTGACCTTTTTATTTCCCCAATATGTGTGTAAGTCAAACCGGAAAGTTGTTTCGGGGAGGGAGGGACTATTAGGGAAAAAATTGTACAACCCAAAAATAGTGCATTCAATTCTTCTACGAAAAAGAGTAAAATGCATAAATGGTCATTGAACTATCATCACCATATCATTTTGGTCCTTGAACTATTCAATCTATCATTTTAGTCCTTAATCTATTTCATCTATATTAATCGAGTCCTTCCGTTAAAATATGCCGTTAACATTGACGGTAGCTAATTAATATATTAACATCTCATAGTTTTATACATTTTAGAACAATACAATCATTGTTAAAATTTAAGTAGCTAATCTAGTTTTTTACCATATACATATATATACACATAGACATATAAAAATTATATATAAATAATATAAAATCAAAGGTATGACTTAAATAATATATGTCTTTCGTCCCACTAAAATTGTCTCATCTTTTATTTTGATCTGTCCGACTATGATTATTCATACCAAATTTAATAAAATTTGTGCGGCTTTTTATCTTTTTTTACTCTATGAAGACGACAACGACGAATGTGGATGGCCGCGACGATGGGGGATGCGTGTGCTGCGGCGATGGGGGCAGGGGGTGTCGCGGAGACAGGGCGGCTGGTTAATGGCTATGGTTTTTAAAAAATGAGTAGGAAGTTAGAATTTTATAATATCAATCTAAGAGTATATTCTGGTAAAATATGTAAGGGAAAATTAGTCGATTAAATCTATTTATTTATTTATTTATTTATTAAATATTATGAATTTAAATATGCAGTATTGTTTTGGGAAAAAAACTAATGAGGTCATGTATTGGAAAAGTGGATTTAGTCATACCTAAAATATTTTTTCTTAATATAATTAATAATAATAACAATCATCCTCATTTTCATATTTAATTTTATCTACTCATATGAATATAATTAAGTTTTTTTTATTCTCTTATGGCCTAAGTATTTTTTAGGCCACACATTTGATTTTATATTATTTATTTATTTATAATTTTTGTATGTGTACGTGTGTGTGTGTGTATATATATATATATATATATATATATATATATATATATATATATATATATATATATTATATATGTATATTAAAAAAACTATATTAGCTACTTAAATTTTAAGAATTATTGTATTGTTCTCAAAGTGTTTAAAACTATGAGATGTTAATAAACTAATTATTAGCTACGGGCAAAGTTAACGACAAATTTTAACGAAAGAACTCAATTAATATAGATTAAATAGATTAAGGATAAAATGATAGATATAATAGTTCAAGGACCAAAACGATATGATGATGACAGTTCAAGGACCATTTATGCATTTTATTCACGAAAAAAATGTGTTTCTAAAATTATAAAAATTGTGTTTCAACTCTTGGGGTTTTTACTTGAATATTACTAATTTTGAAGCAATTCCCAAAAAAGTGACCACTTTTAAAAAGAGGCAAAAAAGTGATCAAGAAGGTCATATATGTGGAATAAGAAAACATGATGTCACTGCAAAAATTTTGGGTCACTGTGCATTTTTTTGTAACTAATCATTACGTCACTATCGAATTTATTGTCACTGCGATTTTATGTCACTATTGACTGTCAATATCGGTTTTTATGTTACTTTTATATGTCACTATCGCCGCCAAACATGTCATTGTGCCGTTAACCATGTCACTTTGTCACCGGAAAATTTTTCCAATGACTTTTCCGACGAATTTTTCCGGTGAAATGTTATCATCCTCCGCAATTTCCGTTCACTGAAACCGCCGCCCACCGCCGCAATTGACGAGACACCTACTGCCCCCACCATACCCCGACCCTCCCCTGGTCTCCCTCAGCTACCCAACCCCCTCCGATCCCCAGCCACAACCTATCCCCACCTGAGCGCCGCCCAACAAATCCGCACCCAGCCCCACCCAGCGAAGTCGCACCCTAGCCCCTACTCTAAGTTCCCAACTTCGTAGCACCTCTATTCCACCCCAGCTGTGCCATCGACCAACGCCACCTCCACTACCCCTAAAACCTAACCCAGCCACCGTCAAAGATCTACAACGCCGCCGCTCCAAGCAGATCTGCAACTTGGATGTCTGTTGATTCCGGCGATGCTCAAACAAAAGTAGAAGGAGAAGAAAGAGGCCTCAAATCTAAGGCAACAAAGTTAGACAACAATGGCGGTGCCATGGTTTAACAGAGCCGATGTTTGTCCAGTTATCCTCGCCGTCGCCGCTCGTCATCACCGTCGTTGCACCACCCAACCGTCGGTCCCCACTAGCCCCTACCTCCAGACCATCCCACCAACCAGTGGCGGAGTCAGGATTGACAGACTATAGGGGCCGGGGCTTAAAGAATTCATATAGCAGGGGCCAAAACATAAATTTTCATTATATTTTTTACTACTTATAAATATTTATACATATATATACCTCACAATTTTTTTCTTGCAGGGGCCGTGGACACCGCCAGCCTCCCCCTGTCTCCACCACTGCCACCAACAGTGTCGTAACTCTAGCGCCAGCCAACCACCACCGCGCCGCTGCCTTAAATCACAAACGCTCCACCGTCGCTGTCCTCGAATTGAACCATAACAGTTAGATCTGAAATTTGGCGTGGAGCAGGGGAGGGCGACAAATGGGTCACGAACAACTGCTATAGTGGTTAACGACGAGGTTGAAGATGGTGGTGAGGTCGGCGGCAACCAGCTCGACGGCGCAGCTGAGGGATGCGACTGGCCTCGAACGAGAATGAAAGAAAAGCATGCACGCGATGTGCGAGTGTTGATTCCTGTGCTTAGGCCGTAGAGCGTGAAGAGGGATCCGAGTAATCACTTTTTTGGTCTTTATTTAAATCACCCATATTTTGGTCCACTAAAACTCTACCAATCATATTTGGGCCATTCTTTCTCAACTCTTTTGGGAAAAAGTAGTGCTTTCAATTACAGTGTTTTCAAATATTATTTCTTTTTGGGAAAAGGTGCAAATAAGCCCTTGAACTAATCGAAAAAGTGCAAATAAGCCCTTTTATAGGAAGCTCTGTCCGGCCGTCGCCATTTGGGGCGGTTTCATGTAGAGTTTTTTTATGAATTTTTTTGAGCATTTTCTTCACTAAGTCTAGTTTACCCATACCAAATTTTAGCTAAAAATTTAACCGGGAAGGCAGCCAAATGATTTTCTGAATTATACTGCGCTGTTTAACTGCTCAGTTATCTTCAAGCATTTATTTGACTGCCTTTCCAATTGAACTTTTAGCTGAAATTTGGTATGGGTAAACTAGACTCAATGAAGAAGATGCTAAAAAAATTTCATCAAAATATTCCACTGGGAACCGCCTCAAATGGCGACGGCCGGACAAAGCTTCCTACAAAAGGGCTTATTTGCACTTTTTCGGTAAGTTCGGGGGCTTAATTGCCCCTTTTCCCTTTCTTTTTTTTTTTTTGCTTATTTAGACCTTGCATGTGGTAAAATAAAACTTCTAATATTTTAAATTGTTATTCACATGTTGCCGATTTTTTCTTCCTAGGACTTACCGCCGCTGGGTCTCTTCTTCCTGGGGCTTATCGCCACTGGGTTTCGTTTCCCGTTTTTCGTTTATTAACGAAAAACGGTGCTTAGGTTGTGGCGAAGGCGAACGACAACAGTGATTTGGGTTTCGGCAGAAGGGCTCGGTCACGGCTTGGGTTTGGCAAAACAGGAAGACGCAGGGGACGAACGAAGGGAGGGGATCTCCATGTTAGAAGAAGTCGACGCCGTGATTACGGACCGAAAGATCAACCTTCCGGGGTTCCAAGTACCGATGGCATCTGTTTGGCGCCTGGGGAAATCGCGTTGGTGCAATAACAATGATGAAGTAGAGGCGGTCGAGTCGGAGGAAACCCGCTTTGGTGCAGCAGCAATCGCTGCGATGGTCCGGCCTCCCCCAGAACCACCGCCAAGGGTTAATCAACGCATTTTGGAGTTTGATTACTTATCTTTTCTGCATTTTAATTTTCAAGTTAAGACGCTTGTGTTTTGCTGTTATTTTATTTTATGCTGTGAGACTCTTGCATTAGGTTTGGGGGATGAGAGGTCTACGGTAATCGTCAATGGCTGTTTGTTGCCCAATTTAAGTCTAGCGAGTTATATTGCTTTGTCAAAGGTGATTAACTCAGAGTCTCGGCCAAGAGCGGATGATTACATGTGGTCCTTTTGTTGTCATGTACCCCTGCTGAATACTATTTTATTAATTTAAAGCCACTTTGACGATAAAAAAAAGACCTTTGCATGTGGTTGGTAAGTCTAAAGTTCAAGTCGAAATGCTGAAAAATATCAAAAGAATGTAGATTTTCTGTCAAGTGGTTAGGGGCGGACCTGGTCCATCGAATCAAAATTGTGCCCGAAATTGTTTGAGACCGGCACGGGACCGGTTCTCCGGTTCTGATCAAGGATCGCTCTCGCCGCTACTACGTTACCCGATCCTGGGTGTGACTATTTGAGACCAAGGCATGCAACTCGAACTATGACTAAAATCCTGGATGGGGGGGGGGGGGGGTGAAGAAGCTTCATTCGCTAATACGTAGCATATGAAACTAGCTGCCATTTACTTGGTAATTGAATATGTGAGACTAATAAAAACGTACTCGGTAATTCAATAATAAAAATTTACCAACTATGGAGTATAAGGATGTTTTCAGTCTCAGACCAGACCAGACCAGACTTAAACAGACCAGACTTAAACAGACCAGACCAGATCAGACTTGGATAGTTATAAAATATACAGAGACCAGACGTTTACCAGACCAGACCAGTTCAGATCAGACCAGACCAGACCAGATCAGATCAGACCAGACCAGACCAGCAAATTTCAGTCCAAAAGAAAACATCGATCCTAAAAGAAGTTGAAGTGAATGATTTATTTTGGGACATCCTGAAAAGGAAAAATGAAACTTTATTTCCACTCCGAGAGTATGAATTTAGATTATTAATTACCTAGTATTTGTTTATGCAAGAATAAACTAGTCTACAAGAATATATATC